TATTTTAAACAAAGCAAGCTTTAAAGTGCAAAGATATTTTTATAAGTATTAGGTTCTCCAAGTTAAAAAACAGAAAATTTGTGGTTTAAACTCAACCAGGCAATTATTGTACACCGGGTAGTTGAACCAATATGTTAAAGTGACATTTTGAGGGCAGCTGCAGCTTATTTTAATAAAAAATCTTTGTTAAAAGGAGCAAACCACCACCAGTGTTCTTTCTCTAACCCTGGTTATGTATCTGTAGCTCTTGTGCTTCAAGTGTTTCATTTATTATGAAATTACACCTAAAATATGCTCAGAAAAAGAAATTTGTCATTTTATGTTAAATATGAATTTGCAGGGAATGTGAACAGCACAGGATTTACAATTTGGGTTTAGAGTTGTAGATAATGGATCTCATTACCTGAGCTTTCTTCAAAAGATCTGCTTGTGCTGTGGCCAGTTCTCCCTGCAGAGCTGAGGCCTCCTGACCCAGTGGGAGGATAAGGAGAACAGCAAAAAAAAAAAAAAAAAAAAAAACTGTGCTTTCTTTTCTGTTATATGTTCTTCTTTAGTGCCGGGGTCTTTTATGACCAGAGCAACTTTCACTGGGGACAATGAAAGCAAATAGTGGGATGCAGAACTCTTTTTATCTCTTCTTCCCACAGAGCTGATTCACCACTGGTGACCCCTGCTGCTGCCACTCCGAACAAAACACACAACAAAAGTGTCTGAGTGGTGAAAACCAGTGGGTTGGGATTCCACTTGGCTTCCGGTTTCACCGACTTTGACAGGATCCTGATCTGAGCCGGGCTTGTGGTCCTGCAAAAGGCTTCCCGCTGGAACCAGGTCTTCGGTTTTTGACGCAAACTAATTAACAGATTTTGTCCCACATAATTACAGATGTCAGATTATTTTATTCTAAATGGATGTTTTTCACAAAAACACTTGTATTTTTATTATTTTAAGATTTTTTTAAAGGGCAAGATGTTTAAACTGAATTGTTCAAGCTGAAACGATTGGAGTAAAAGCTCAAATTAGCAAAACATTAAWTGTGGCATTTTAAAAGTTGTACTGCAGCCAGCCACTAGGGGGCACTTATACTGTGTGGCTTCAAGGTTCTGGTTCTGTGTAGTTGTAATACAGTATATGATGATAGAACAAGGTCCAAGGTGCTCAGTCCTGGTGATCAAGGACCATACGGGAACTCCACTTTAAATTGTCTAAAATATACATTCTGACTTTGAATTAATGCATGTTTTGTAATGTTTTGCTGAACTTTACTCATCATCTCTATCAGAAAAGGCGGGCAATCTAGAAATTGTCTATCTGTTAGCAAAATATTTCATGAACCACTTACCAAATTCAAAAAAACAAAAACAAAAAAAAAAAGCACAAATTGCGTATTTTTTTACGTATAATGAGCTGAAATTCAGTGTGTCAGCCAAGAGCCATCCCCGTCACATACTCCAGACACAAACAGATCCATTAGGAACATGTTTGAGTTCTTTTGTATCTCGGTTCTGATTAGAGAGCGTGAACACTGCAAGCCCAGCTGTAGCCTGTTAGTGTGGTCTGAACGCACGTTGTGCACGGTGCTGAAGATAAGAAGCTCCTTCATGAATAAAGATGTTGGGCCYTCCTCTCCTCGCCTCTCTCTGTTCTTCTTACAGCAGCCATTATTTATAGGCCCAGTAAGGCCCGCGGCGGTGAGCGGAGGTCCCGGGGGGACTGGGAAGTGGAGCCACAGCTACCTATAGTGGGAAGATATACCACCTCAWCCCCCGCTGAGGACTCGGTGCAGGAAATGAACTCATAAATCAAGCAGTAAATTGAGTGTAGGGCTGTGCTTACTCATCTCCTCTTCCTCTGCATGGCCCCYGCTCCGTTTTACTGCATGACTAATAACAACGACTCCTCTGCCGACAAGCGCTCCGATAAACTTCTGCAAAAAGTGCCGATTTTATTCACGAGTTAGCAACAGAAGTTTGAACGCCTGAAGGCTGAAAATGACTCAAAGAAATCCACACATGGCTGGAGAAACAGACATTTTCTGTGAAAACTCAAAAAGGGCAACATATCATKGAGATTAAACAGAACTGAAGCTAAACAGGAGCTACGTGTCTCAACAGGAGCTCAAATAGTCCCTAAAATCAGTCAAACAGTAGCTAAAAWTGGCTCAGTAATTGTTAAAATCGAATAAACTATCAGTTGCAGTTAACGTTATCTAAACAGTAGTCAGCTAAACAGCTAAAATATTTATGAGGGAGAACAACAAAACTTTGATAATTAAAAATTTTCACTATTTTGATGATTTTTGCTTTTAGTTTTGTAGTTCTCTGTAGTTCTACAACTGTACTAAAGTTAGCAAAACCACAAAAGATAAAAAAAAACCTCTACTTATGCTAAACTAAACTAAACAGTAACTAACAGCTAAAATTTGGTAATGTCAAAAACTATAGCAAATTACAACTAAAATCTAAAATTAAATCAACTGTTTCTAAAAACTTATATTAGCAAAGCAGCAGCTAAAAATGCAGTGGCTTAAAGCTAAATAAAAAAAGACTACAATTAATTTAAAAAATAGTAAGATATAATTTAGCAATACCATAAGCTAAAACTTTAAAACAGTAGCTAAAAGCTASAGTGAGCAAAACTTTTAAGCTTAAATTAAAAATAAAATAATTGCAAGTTAAAATTAACGAAATCACGGCAAAATAGCTAAAATTTGCTCAGCCATGTTAGGAAAACAGTAGCTTATAGATGCTATGAGAAAACCAAAATTTAGCAAAAAAGTTGCTAAATGGTAAATAT